TTTTTTTTTTTCCTTGTGACTTCGTCAGGCGCAGTGAGGAGAGCCAGTCTTTGGATTCGACTCCATCGCTTTTTGGGCTGCTGAACTCCGTGTGCAGTCCGCCCGGCCGTTAGACGGACTTGAGTCCGGAGTCCGCCCGGCCGTTAGACAGATTTGAAGTCCGTCCGTCCGTTAGGAGGATTTCAGTTTGTTTGTCCGCCCGTTAGACGGATTTAAATCCGCCGGTCTGTTAGACGGGGTTAAGTCCGGTCGTCCGTTAGACGGCTTTTTTTCATTGCGTCCGGCCGGCCGGCCGTTAGGCTTTATAAATCCGTTAAAGTCTGTTCTCCATAGAGGACTTCAGCAGCCCGCAAGTCCGCTAAGTCCGTTAATAGACAGATTTAAGTCCGTCCGTCTGGTGTGTTAAGATCAAGTACAGTGTATCTGTTCTGATCAGTTTAATATCTGATCTTTGGTCCATCGGACCACCCAAAAAAAAAAAAAAAAAAAAAAAACAGTTCGTCCGTCCGTTAGGCGGATTTCATTGAGTCCGTTCGGCCGGCCGTTAAGCTTTTTTAAGTCCGTTATAAGTCTGTTCTCCGTCGGAGTTTTGCCTTGCCAGGAGGATGCCAAACTCCTTTGGAGACAAGTTTTATATGAGAAATGAAATCATGAACTTCTATTTAAAAAAAAAAAAAAAAAAAAACCTCCGTTGGAGGCAAGTTTATATCATCTGTATCCCCCCCCCCAAAAAAAAAAGTTTTATATCATCTGTGAAAGACGCCGACGAAGGTTTTGTATCATCTGTCAGAGAGGAGCCCGTCTGTTGTCTTCCTGGGAATGGTCATCGCCACTGAACAAGCTTTGGTCAAGAAATGGAGTTTTAGGGCGTACTCAGTCGAGGACGTCCTTTTTCTATTGACTGAATTATGGTCATAAGTGGAGCCAGGTACATGCAGGACAGTTCCGAATGAGAGCATCCCGTTACCGAAATGCGTCAGGGATGCTGCCCTGTGGGTCGATGTTTCGATACTTATCCAGGAAATTTCGCTGGTAGTTCACTAGCCGGTTCTTTGTGACAATGTATATATATCTATAATACTATATCTATATATATATGAGGGTTCAGCCTCCTGATGAGTCGGTGAAACTCCGACGAAACAGTTTGTGCACCCCAATCTTGACTGTACCGGCCCGGAAATCTAACTTGTATACATTCACAATGAGGATGCGCTATGTTCGGGGGAAGACGGTAGGCTATGTTTTTTTTTTTTTTTTTTTTTTTTTTAATCTTACGGGGGCCTGCAATCTATTGGTGGGTAGCTACACCTGCTGGAAAGCGGGTCCAGCGTCCCCTGATTGACAGTGTTGAGATGAAACATCCGCATTTGCTAGGCTATGGTGATTATTGAAACATTATTACAAAAAATATAGGAGGAAAAAAATGCTGTAGGTGGGGTTTGTCTGCATGACCATGTAGCGGAGGATTTGACTTGTGTGCATGCGGCACTTGCATGGATGGGTGTATCACC